AAATATCTAATCATGAATTTTTGAGTCACGGAAAACAGCGTCTATTTTTATTAGAGTTTATCTTTTTAAAGAAAACAGTGTATATAGGAGAATTTTTGGAAGTAATTGTTAATATTTGAGTTCAGCTGACAGCTTCTCTCTTGGACCAGATGCTTTCTCGAAAGAAGGGCGTTGTTGTCAACGTTTCTTCAGCTGCTGGCTACAACCATATGCCACTTTGGGCTGTCTATTCTGCCACAAAGGTGAGATGAGCGATTGCAATAATTTACGCTTTTGTTGTTGTTTAGCACTTATTCTTGTTTGGTGAGAGGATTTATTCTTAAAAGATATTAAGTAAATATCTTGAGGAATGAAAATAGGAACTTCCATTGTTTCATGATTTTCAAGGCGATCTATCAAATTACAGAAGTATGTGACATGGCTGACCGAGATCCTCCGCCTCGAGTACGCCAACTCTGGAATTGTATTCCAAACCATCTGTCCTATGATGGTAGCCACCAAAATGAGCAAAGTAATAGAATTCTCCATCGTTAGAGTCTTCGTCGAATGCTCCAGCCAAATTCTTTAAACTGTATGTAAAGCCGACGTGTTTAGGTTCGTAGATCGTCTTACTTCACTCCCACCGCCGAAAATTTTGCAGCTGCTGCCGTGAGAAGTATTGGCCTTATCAGTGAGACCACGGGTTATTTCTCTCATCAGATTCAGGTCATAAAAATGGAAATTTTCTCAATAGTTGTAGTGCTTCAACATGTTATCAATATATTGACACTTTTCAGCATGAGCTTTCCAAATTCATTCCGAGACCCATTTTCAAGATCATGGTCATGAAGTTCAGTGAAGGTACCCGTGCTGCTGCCCTCAGGAAAAAAGCCAAATCTCAGTAAATTTTTAATGTTATGCCCTACATCGTTCGTATGTATCACGTTTGTTTTAATATATGTTTAAGGCTGAGTTATGTACCGATGGTTTACCTATTATCTACTTAATTTTTTTTCTTGATTTGCTCACCATTATGGGCTGTGAATAGTTCCAAAAGAGTGCAGTATTTCAAAGTCTTTGGTGCGTCATCAACTTATTTTGTAATTATGAATAAATCTAGTAACGCTATGAACAGCTTCCCTTTAAAAGTTCACAGGGCTCTGCTACGGAGAATGCCAGACTCAATAAATTACCAAATATTTTTCATTGGTCGTCAGTATTTTCCAGCCAAGTGGATGTTATAATATCAATATTAGTTGTTTTCGAATGCTGGCTGCCCTCATGGCCCGACAGCTTCATCTTTTTAAATATTACTAGAAAAACATAATATACATGTACAATACTATACGTCATGCAGTGATGCGGTGCCTTTCGTCCATACGCGATGCAGCCTGAAATCGGAACATCTGGGTCAGCTGGTTGTGCGCAACTGGCATGGAACAGATCAAAGGATCGGTCGGTCTAGGGTGCGGCGCTGTCGCGTTAGCGTCACAGCCAAACCTTTGGCTGGGTACGGTATGCCGTAACTTTTCATAAAGGCCGCAATTACTATTTGCCGAACGACTTTGTCGGTTTGAGCAAAGAGTCAGTTTTGTCATAACAATGAATAATTGTTAAATAACTTTGAAAAAGCGAATGACCAAAATATGGGAAGGTGCAGAGCCAGTAACGTGCTCATTAAAAGATCTGTCTTATTTTATAACGATGTGAAGAAGCCATGCCATTTTATCAGCTTAGAAGAATTTTAGACAGAGGTTTTTGTAGCACTAGATCTTACTTGAAAGCAAAGGTCTTCCTCAATTGGTAGTGTGCTTAACTTAACCACTGAGTACAGTCTTGTTGAGGAATGTTTAGAAAAGCTCGACCGACAATACATCTTTTTGGAAGGCTAGGAAGTCATTAGCTACAACACTATCTAAGATTACTGAATATGCTACTTGCGAAGGGTAGATCTGTACATTTGCCCATCAACCCTATTGTTGCCCTGATCCTACAGCAAAGACATATTGTGCGAAATAAATATGATTTTCGTGATCAAAATTTCAATTAGTATCGGGAAACTACTGTAGATAAATCAGTGTTAACTCCTGCAGCATATCTGGTAATCGTGCAGTTAGGTCCTATCGCGAGAAGTGGATAATTTTTCTAGTCAGTAAATCCAAAAGCTCCGTCAAACAATTTTGCAGCGATTTCCCGTCCTTTCCATTTTTCACATTCCAAAAGTTAAAAAAAAATATCTATCATAAATAAAGCTATCATAAATAACTTCTAACTTGTTAAAAGCAAATTTAGTGGGTAAGTGAAATACACTGATTTATAACCACGGATTTCCCTCTTTGAGAAGGATTACGTTCGGGCTAACAGGATCAAGAGGATGGACGAAGACGCCGAGTCGAAAGAAGTGGACTGTACGGGATTGAAGGACTTGTAATTCATAACAGGTTTACAAGATCTCTTGCTTTGAAAAGTTTGTTTAAGGATGTTGCATTGGGACACACAAAGGACTGCAGTTGACAATAGAAGATCCCGTCGACGATTGTGCTGATAACACTGGAGAGCTGGAATGTTGCGCGGAATAGAATATTGAAGTGCTTCAACTCGTGGGTACCAGCTTCAGAGATGACAACTTCTCTGAAGCGAATACCCACTCCTGTTCTAAAACGGTAGGCAAGAAAGACATAATGTCTAAGAAGCGACCAGTGCGTTATGGGAAAAACCAGTGAAAGACGGTGCAGCTTTTACCTAGACT